GGGGGGGGGGGGGGGGGGGGGGGGGGCATTTTGCTTTCCATAGATGTGTCGACCCATCTAGGTAGCGTTTTCTTGAGTTGACACGTTTTGGGATGGTGGCTAGACGATCCTGCTCCAGCTTTACAAGCGTTCAAGTTTTACCAAAGTGAGATTTGCAAACCGGAGCAAGGGAAGCAGTGATAGTACAAAATGCCCCCCCCCGTCGATAAACAGCGCCTAGAGGAGGGCGGATTGGCAGCAGAAATAGGGAAGCCCTGCCATAATTTGTGTATGAGATCCTAGTTACTAACCACATCAATACCTTCCTTTTTTTTCTTGAGTGGTGTCGATCTGTGTCCCATTTTCGTCACTCCGCTTGCAGTCAGATAAGGCTCGTCCTCCGCGATAGCCGTCCACAGTTGATTTAGAAGTCGACACAGGCGATGATCTGAGACTTCTCTCAGCCGTATGGGCAGCTTTACATGATTGGCAAGTGCATCACCCAATCGTGCGCAGGTCTTCCCTGGATTATGGAAGTCCTACAGAACCTCACTTGATCGTTCTCTTCGTCTGTCTGTCGCCCCACTTTCCCATGACATGACCGACCGATCGCAGTGTTCCCTTCGGGCACCACAACCGCAGGATTGCGTGGGCGGAACATGTGACGTAGGTGGAAGGTGCGGAGTCTTTTTAAATATTCCGTGTAGCGTTGCAACCTTAGAAGGCAACGTTTGAGCGTTTTGTGGATAACAGTAAGTGCTCTTGGCGTGGTTGTGCAGTTTAGATCGCTGCAGATGAAGGGGCGTGTAAGACCGGATGGGTTTGGCGTAGAGCGGAACCCTTCTCCGACCAGTTATTGAAGCGAGAAGCGACAAAATAGTGTCATACCGTTGGTACCGGTCGCTATCCAACAGCGGTTGCCGCTTACCCGCTTCAACAACCGTTGCAGAACGGATCCGGCGTCGCGTCAAACGCATCCCCTTACACGCTACTCGTGGTTTGAGTTTGCTTCTCAGTCAACAGTGTGATGCTGATGTATGCATAGAAGCAACTGGAAAAGTAGTCAGGGTAGTAGTAACTAGACAGAGGATTCATCAGAATCTCGAGTACAGTGCCCCACTGGAGATTCTGAGGAATCCCCTGCTCCCAACCCCCCTCTTCCCTTCTATCCTCTGCGATCATCCTAGGTTGCGTTCACACCTTGCCAAACTGAAGTATCAAGCAGTCTTACGAATCGTGGAATGGGGGCAATCGGAAAAATATTAGTTCATCTCAATCAAGAGGATTGTCGAATCACCAATTCTTGGATTATTTGATTTTTCAGATTGAGATCTGCATTGCTTTTAGCACTTCCTGCGATTTCCGCGATTTGCCAGTTCAACAATTTTGCGAGGTATGAACGCGGCCTTTGTTCTCGTTCGTAGTCAGCACCGGAATTACTCTGTATTATGATTCTCTCTATGCTTTTGCCCTTTGAGATTATCTCTGAGGTTCCGTTATTCGCCCATTTGGTGAGTCATAAAGTCCGCGATAAGGATTAGAAACACATCGATCAGGGTAATCAAGGAATCCATGCAAAGAACGGCTTCCTTTGACTAATCCTTCGACCGAATATTTTGGGAGAGTTGGTGAATCGTTGAAAGGCCTTCATGCGAATCTACAGCCTATGGTTTTCGTATTTGTCAGTTCAGCGCCGTGAATGATCCCCCTTTAATGATGATAATCACAGAACGATTGGTGGTAATCGCTCTCGTCTCAGTACGCAGAAATGGCAGCCACTTTTCCTCAACTGGCATACATCCTTGATTTCTGTATCATTGCTCTGTCATTGATTGAACATCCTTTGCGTGTAGCTACTCATGTCGTGCCCATAACATTCGAAGCATATCATCATGTTGTTCCAAATTGTTACAAATTA